CTAGGCCCGAAACGTCAGCCTTCCTGCTCCTCTGATGCTGCTTGGCCTGCTGCGTTCATCCAGCTCTATACCTTGTTATCTCAGATTCTCCAGCATCTGCAGTTCCTACTATTTCAGTTTCCATTATTTGGTTGAATTAGTGTTAATTTTGAATTTGCCTCTGGAAAAGCAAAATGACAATTCAACTGCCCCAGAATGGATTCAGATTTCAGTCTGCCTATGATTGCAATGTAGCAGAAGAAAAAGTTTAAAACCTGAAGTAGCTACAAAACAAAAACAATGTTGTTACCCTGTCAGCATGTAGTCCTGATCAGAAATGAGCGCAATCACTGAATATAGGAAGAAGACTAGGTCAGTGAGCCTGCTCTGCCATTTATTAAAATCACAGCTGACCAAACACACCACTGCCTTTAACCCACACCATTGATACCAATACTCAAAGACTGAGCTTGTCCTCTGTGGTAGATTCACCACCTTCCAAGTAAAGGAATTTGCTCACCTTGGTTCTAACTTGGAATCCCCTTTATTTTGACATTATATCCCCTGGTTCTGGATTTTCCAATCAGGGGAAATGTTTCACCAATATCGACTATGGCTATCCCTTTAACTATTTTGTAGATTTCCACGAGGTCATTCTCTCATTCTTCAAAGCTTTTAGAGAATATGGGCCAATTTGTCCATTTTCTTCCCCCCGTCACAGGACCGTCCCAGCATCCCAGGAACAAGTCTGGTGAACTTACACTGCATTCTTTCTCTGGCAATAATACCTTCAAGAGGTAAGGAGACCAAAATGGCACACAGGTGATGTCTAACCAAGTTCCTATCACAACTGAAGCAAGACTTTATTACTCCTGTACTAAAATCCTCTTACGATAAAGGTTAACGTTCCCATTAGCTTTCCTAATAGCTCACAGCACTTGCCTTTAGTATTCAGTGACTTATCAACTGAAATCAAATTTAAAAAATTGATATTTCAAATGCAGTTGATAAGCATTGAATGACATATGAAAAGGAAACTACAAATGCTGTAAATTTGAAATAAAAATTGTAAAGGCCAGGAACATAGAACATATCAGTAAAAATGCAAAACAACTTCATGTTTGGGACATCACTTTTTCTAATTCCTTAAAATACCTCTTCAGTTGAAGTCCAATAGATCAATTCTGAACTTTCCTACTCCATTGAATCAATATAACTCTGCAGTCTCTCATCCCTTTTACTACCTTTCCCAGTTTCTCTACATTTGACCTAGAGCTTTAACATTTTCCTTTACATAGGGTGTCCAAAAACTGGGATTATTCTTCTAACAGTAACCTACCTAAAGACTTGCATCTGGTTAACAAGAGCTCTACGTTATACTCTTATAGCCTAGCATCAAAACTTAGGACAAAGACAGAAATTTCTGGAAAATCTCAGTACATCCGGCAGCATCTATGGAGAGAAAACAGTTAACATTTCAGGTCCAGAACCCTTCTGAAATTCTGAAGAAAGGTCACTGGACCCAAAACATTAACTCTCATTTCTCTCTACAGATGCTGTCAGACCTGCTGAGATTTTCCAGAAATTTGTTTTTGTTTCAGATTTCCAACATCCACAGTTCTTTCAGTTTTTGTTTAGTGTTCAAAACTTAAAGATCCCAGATAATTATTTTTAGAACATTATATATAGCTTTAACATTTAGCTCCTGCGCTCCTACATTTAAAAAAAACCGATTGCCTTACCGTGCCTTTAAGTAAGCCTTCTCAGTTTTTTTTAAAAAATGTTTTTTTCCCCCCTCTGTTTTCTATTAAACATAACCTGTCACCTCCCAGTTTTCCACATCTGGCAGTTCCCTCTCCTATCTACAAGCCCATGTATGTCATTCTGAATTCATCCACAATTCTATTCACTATTAACTGTGCTGTCCACTTTTGTACGACCTGTAGATCCTGATATGACCCTTATGCAGTCGGTCAGAATCAATTGGCTTTTCTTGTCTAAGAGTAACAATGAAGTTTACAGTGCGAGATCTCTCAAAGCTAGCACAGTCTGTGCAGATAAGTGCCTCAGCACCATCCGTAAGATTACAGGCATGCCAGACACTAATGCCTTTCCTGATACAGCTATTCCTGAACAGCCACATTGAACACCCTGATACAGAGCCCAGTAAATATTCCTCAAGTCTAAGTATGGATGCATTATTGAGATGGCTGGTTATTTTTATTCATCAATGCTGAATGTGCTGAGCATGTAAGCACATACAAAGCATGTTTTGTGGCATAGTGGCCACGCATCTACCTCTGTGCCAGGATTTGGGTTCAAGTTTCACTCGCACTGGAGGTGTATCATTACATATCTGAACAGGTTGTTTAAAGACACTTTGGAAATCTACGAAACCGCTAGTAATCAGCAGTAATTAAGGTCGATTTTTCCCATTGAATAAAGGCTACTTTTCACACAGTAACACTTCAGATGATGCCCTTAACTATTAAAATATTAAGAAGGAATGATTAAAATTTTATTTCAATATACTAAATAGGACCTGCATGAATTGCTACAATCTTGCTATACTGGCTGAGTTCTTGTAAATGCAATGGTACAGCAGAAATAAAAGGCACAGTGAGCCAGAGTCAGAAGGGAGAGTGTGAACTGGAACACGAGATTGAAGGAGATTGCGACTGTTGAGCCAAATAAAGTCTTGAAGAGAAATGCAATCAGCATCAAGATTCTATAAGCAATGTTGAAGGGCTGGGAACTGGCTGATATCAGCCAGACTTAGACACGAGGAAGACTTACTGCAGTGTACAATTCAATGAATTGGAGTTTGTAGGGTTTGGCTGTAATGACAGCATTGAAAAATAATCAAGCCTAGGGGTGATGGGCATTGATTACAATTCCAGCAATACTCCGGCTAAGGTGAAACTATGTGCTGCTCGTAAAGTGGAAAGCATAATAATTCTTAATGATGAATCAGACATGGAGGTTAAATTGATTGAAATGGATTGAAGTAATTCTTTTGAACAAGAATTTAAAGCTACAGGTATGAATTTACAAAATCAAAACAAGATAGATAACAGTGCAACCAAAAAAGAATTGCATAAAGTCTCCCACTGGGACAAGGGTGACTCTGGCTTCTTGTTTGAAGTCATTGCCACATTACTTCCTGAAAATTCACCATGTATTAAAAATAAAGACATACATCTTTTTAAAATCCCAATTTTTATATACAAAATGTTTCATGTTTCATTTTCCAAGCATTCACACTCTCTTCCTTTCCCTAATTATTTACACACTCATCAGTGTAATGCTTGTGTGGGTGTACTGCATCCTGATCATTATTGTAATTTACCATTCCACCCATTCCTGTTTCAGCAGTTTCCCCAAAGAATTAGGCTTCACATTAAATGGCAATCATATTTTCAATACAGTGGGCAGAGGAACATGATTCAGTAGCTGCTACATTTTTTTTTTAAGAAATGCAAAAATGTTCCAACATTTTACCTGGAATATCATAAAACATCAAGAGAACAAAAGAAATACAGGAAAAAATGAAGTCAGCAAGATATGAAGTCACTTGAACACTGCTTTATTGTTGAAATTGGCAACAAAATGTGAACAAAAATAATATTCTGGTAAAAGATAAACAGCAAGCTATTTCAAAGTTCCCTTTCAAACATCATTCCATACAAGCTTAATTTCAAATCATCATAAAATGTACTTACTTCGGATTTGCTTCTTAATTTCCTTGGCTGGGTCCAGCCAGTTCTGAAATGTAACATTTTATATGTTTAATATTTCAAATATAGTACAGAATCCAAATGAAACAAATCAGTTTAAGGCAGGATGGTGAACTGCTTTGCTGTAAATGTGTAATCTGAAATTAAATTGCAATTAGCAAAAACAATATTTTCCTTCTTTGAAATTATGCTGAAAGTGAAGACATATTGTGGAGGACAAGTGTGACTAATGACAGTGAGTGACCAAATCAGTAAGTACATATTTAAAGATTTATACACCATCAGGCAGTTTCTAATGGGAAAGGATAATTTTTGAAGGCAGTTAGATTTGAATTTGTGGCACATGGAAATCTTGAGCTTCAATCACAATTCAAAGCATCTTGAGTTGAAATGGAGACACTTAATTGTCTGAGAATCACAGAGCTCACCATTATGCAGTAAATCAGACCACAATCTCTGGCATCCACACGAACTATTTATTAAACAAGAAAATCAAGATATTGCTGCCCGAATTGTCACGTACATCCAGAAGCTTCACTCCAACATTGAACATATGTACGCGTGTGTAAATATTTTATTTTTATATATTCCTCAGGTAATGAAGCAGTCTGTGTCCATATGCAGAAAGATCTGCACTATTGCTTGGCAAAAATGTTTCATGCTACACAAGTACCAGGCAATAGCCATCTGTGAAAGAGAATCCAATCTTTGCCCCTTCACTTTAAAATTACATTGCAGTGTTGAATTCCCCTGTTAGCAATATCCTAGAGGTTACCATTGACAAGAAACTGAACTGGACTAGCCATCTAACTACTGTTTCTACAAATGATCAGAAACTAGGAATTTTCCAGCTAATAACTCGCTTCCCGTCTCCCTAGTGCTTTGTAGATGATGGGCAAACACAAGTCAGGAGTGTGTTTGAATACTCTGTGCTTATCTAGATGAGGGCAGGTCCATCAGTACTCAAGGAGCTCAATTCCTTTCAAGACAAAGTAGATCTCTTATTGGCATCCATCCACCACCTTCAAAGTCCACTCGCTTGACCACCGCTATTGGCTGCAATATATACCATCCACAAGATCCACTGCTGCAATTCTCTGCAGGGTCCTTTGACAGCAGCTTCCAAACCAGAGATCTTTATGATATTGAGCAACAAGGGCGTGGAAACTGCACCAACTGCAAGTTCTCCTTCAAGCCACACAACATCCTGACGTGGAAATAGATCAACATTTCTTGGCTGTCATTACATCAGAATTCTGCAATTCCTTTCCTAACAGCACTGTGGGTATCCTTGCAAATCAAGGACTGCCACTGTTCAGGAAGGCAGTCTAACACCACCTTCTCCAGCACAACTATTGATGGTCACTAAATGCTGGCGTGGTCAGCAATGCCCAAATTCCATAAACAAAAAAGACAAAATAAAAAGAAGGATGTGAAAGTATAGTACCTACCCATTACATACCCACTTAGTGCATCAGAAAAGGTCAGTGCCCATTCAACTGTAAGTGACTGTGTTACATGTCCAATAAGTTTCAATTACCACCGTGCAACCCATGACATTAAACATTTAGTTATAAAACAGTGGAATCACATTCCTTCAGATGTGAATTGTTACCTGATTGTTATTTGAAGATTAAAACTTGTATTTTTCTTCTCTTTGTCTCTTATCTCTCTTTAATTCTACCTTCTTTCTCTCTTTATTCCACATTCCTTACATTCTTTGATATTGTATTAAACATTCACAAACAAACTTCACGTGGTTCAATAAGGGATTTTCAACCAAATTAGCTGAAAAGAGTCATGTTGTTTACCCATTTCTGAAGAAGGGTCCTGACCCGAAACGTCAACTTTCCTGCTCCTCTGATGCTGCCTGTCCTGTGTTCCTCCAGCTCCACACTGTGTTATCTATGTTGTTTACCCTGTTCACAACATCCTATAAAAGGGCACCAAGCGACTTTGACCTTCTAATAGCCACAAGTTACAGTGCAAAAGTGCCACTTGCTCATTATCAATCAGATAACCTGGGGTTATATTTATGTCTTTCGCTTGTGAAATTCAGCAACTAGAAAAAGCCAATACAGCCTCCCCAAAAAAATTCCAAAATGGATTCTGACACTTCACTTGGTGCATTTTGCAATATTCTGGCAACTAGAATGATGATGGACATTGCACCTTTTTTCCATTTAAGAGAAGGGATTCTTGTACAAGTTCTTTAGAAATTTTGGAAATCAATTCCTTTCAGTTACAGATAAAAGATTTTTTCCCCTGATTCTGAAAAAGATATTAGGGCAAACAGGATATTTAAACTATATCTTTGGTCGAACAACTGAGGCTTGAGGCAGCAGTTTAAATGGTACACAAACCTTGCAAATACTGATCCAAACTAATATTGGTGATACATTTCTAGTGAATATTCTCCCTTTGAAAAATTTTAACCTTTATATTAAAATTTTTAGTAACATTCCTGCTAATATTCAATCAATATTGCATTTCAGAAGTATCATTTTTCCTTTTTTTTTAAACAAGCAAAAGTCCATCTTTGATATATCAATTAACAGAGGAAGTCAGTGTACAAAACAACAAACTAAATTTCAACATTGCTCTAGAAAAAAAGTCATCTTTCTCTATACAGAGAAGTGAAATAACCCAACATTTAATTTTCTCACTTGCCTTTTGATTTTCAGAGTCCCGAAATGTCAAGCCAAAGTAATCTTTCTCCAGAAGGTTGAGCTGTCCACAGACTTTGTCAAAGAGCACCTGTCCCTTTGCACGTTTCTGCCAAAAGACAGGGATTTATTAACATAAAAACAACATTGAGATATTTGGTTTTCTTGCTGGTCAAAGTTAATACTATTTCATAGCAACGTGATTGCTATAACAACAAAAAAAAAAGAACCTTAATTTATTTCCTAAATCCTCAACGACTTACACAAACATACAAGAGACTACTCATTTCAAAAGGAAACCACATACTGAACCAAAATCAATGAGTCTACCTTGGGTATAATTTTTATTTTAGATTCATAGGATGTGGGCGTCACTGGTTAGGCCAGTATTTTATTGCCCATCCCGAACTGCTCAAGAGGACAGTTAAGAATCAACCACATTGCTGTGGGTCTGGAGTCACATCTCGGCCAGACCAGATGAGGATAGCAGTTTGCTTTCCGAAAGGACATGAGTGAATCTCTCTTTCCCACTTAGCCCATGCTACAGGTTAAATTTAACCAAGTTAATGTCCAGTGTTTATATACACTCATTTATTACTTGAACTTATTTTTTAAACTCATCCCTAAAATACCAATGACTGCAACAATTAATTGACAATCTACCAACTTGAGGCAATAATTTTACACGCAACTAGAATGAAGAACATAACATCTGCTAATTTCTAATAGAAAACTACAACACATCTGCTTGGAGTTTTTGGCCTGGAAATCAATTGTAAATGTAACTGGAGCAACAACATTGGATACTGGAGCAGTAGAATAAGGTACAAAGAGTAACAAAATACACGTCTGATTCATCAACTCTACTATATATTCAATCTGTGTTTTCTACTTTGAATTTTGTGCGGTGCTTAATACAAGCTGTGAGAAGGACCAAACATTGCACAGTTCCTTTCTTAAAAGGCAGTAAAGGTCAGAGATATTTCCAAGGTCACTTCTGTACAGCTCTGAACAGCAAATTTAAGATGCTGTGGTCCAAGTCACATGGTCATTGCTGTTTTAAGAAATTGGTAAGCAAGTAGCAGTTATTTACAACATGCAATCAAATGCTAAGAGATTAAGTAGTCTTCCAAGTGCAGATACAAGCAATAGTGAATTAACAGCTTGTTACGGAGAGCCCAATATTCTTTTCCACTGAAGTCAACATGAAATGTATTATGGGTTAACTACTCCCTCTTGCACATTGTTGCTATAGACCAGCATCAACACTACTTCAATAACATCCAGGAATAATAGCCCCTACTTTAATGACAGAAATGAAATCTACATTTTCAACATAATTCCTTACAAAAAAAAACCCCAACAGCTCAATTTTCAAATTCACCAAAATACTCTTCAGTTGTTTACAGCTTTTTCATGTCTGAACTGACTTGCCACATTAGAACGATTCTAACAAATGAATCAGAAACTTCCTATTGAAAATGAACTGCCAACACACCTTCATCATGATACAATTACATCATGAATGCTCCTGCTAGTTAATTGAATTTAGAGTCACACAGCATGGAAACAGACCCTTCATCCAACTCATCCGTGCCAACCAGACATCCCAATCTGATGCGGACCCATTTGCCAGCATTTGGCTCATATCCCTCTGAACCCTTCCTATTCATATACCCATCCAGATGCCTTTTAAATATTGCAATTGTACTAGCCTCCACCACTTCCTCTGGTAGCTCTTTACATACACACACCATCCTGTGTGGAAAAAATTGCCCCTCAGATTCCTTTTAAATCTTCCCCGCTCACCTTAAACCTATGACGTCTAGTCTTGGACTCCCCTACCTTGGGGAAAAGGCCTTGACTATTCACCCTATCCATGCACAAAACCAAAAGAAGCCCTGTTCCTTGCCAAGAAATGCAAATTGACAATTAAGCAATTAATATGAAAGAAGAGTTTAAGAGCATTCAAACTATCAACATGGAATCATAAAAGATTATCTCAAGCACAGGCTGTTGATTCCAATTGTAACTCTGCAAGAAATTACAAACTTAGTTCATCTCTGGCAAACTCCATGTCTTTGTGACCTTTACTTGTTGATTAGTTTTAAATGAATAATTCACCAAGCTTCTTAAATTAGATTTGATACAGTTCATAAAATGTCAGCCACAGGTTCATTATATTCCTGGTAATTTAGAATGATTGATTTAATCTCCAGAACTGTTGCAATTCAGATTCTAAAACACTCAGATATTGAATATTTCTCGCAGAATTCTTGCTCAGTTCTCAATGGGAGTCTTGTATCCATATTCAGATTTATTCTGCAAAATGCTTTATTCACATTCCATTAGACACTAGCGGAAGGTGATCGCACAAATAACAATTCTACAATGCTTAAAAGTGACATAAAGGACAGTCCTCTGAAATAAAAGTATAAAATATTCCAGGCTTAGGTATCAGAAAACAAATAACCTCATTAAAGTCAATACTATAATCTATCAAGTTTGTACTTCAAAGATTTTCAATTCATTAACCCAAACAAACAAAGAGTTCAACATTAAAAGTAGTTAGCAAATCACAAATGAAAACAGATGTAATAGCATTTCAGCCATATGATAACTGCTACAATGTTCATTATTGATTTAAGCTAAGAACTTGGGGAAGATCATATGCTTCAAGCTTAAACAATACTTTCTGTAGGGTTCTGCAAATTGACATAAGGTGGAAACTTCATAATATCTATGAAACAACAACAACGTCCATGAGGCCATTATTGTCAATCTCCATTTGCTCTTGCAAAGCTGGTAGAAAGCTATGATCTTGAACCACTATAGTCGATCTGGTATAGGAACACCTATACTGCTTTGGGAGGCAGTTCCAGAATTTCATCCATGCTTCAGTGAAGGATCGCTAATGTAGGTGCTGTTAAAGGACCTCAGGCAAATTGCTGCAAACTACCCTGTGGATGATACACACTGCTGCCACTGTGCAGGTGGCGGCTTGGACACTGATCAAGCAGGCTGCCTTGACCTGAATGGTGTTCAGTTTGATTTTTTAAAGCAACATTATTTCAGAGAAATAGGTGTCACTGGCTACCTTAATATATGGAGCAACAATCATCCAGGCACGACTTCTGCCATTGACAAGGTGTGGGGAGTCAGGAGACTAGTTACTTGCTTTAGCATTCCTATCTCCCTGTGATCTCCACTTTAAGCCATAGTATTTATGTGGTTGGTCCAATTGCATTTCTGCTCAATGGCAACTGCAGGATGCTGATGGTAGGCAATTCAAAGATTGAAATATCATTGAATGACATGCAAAAATACTGGATTCTCCACCTCTAACAATATGGAGAATTCTCCAAATTGGTCCTGACCACAACAGCAGGATAAATCCATCCTAGCCAATGATCATCTCATCAGTCCACTCATCCAACTGATGGCAGGTATTGTTGACAGTGCTATCAGGCAACACTTGCACAGCAATGACCAGTTCACCAATGTCAAATTTGGGATTCGCCCCCAGGGCTACTTAGCTCCAGCCCTTGTTGATATAACCTTGGGCTGTTGTTAGGTGCAACTGACCAGAAACTGAATTGGATCAACATAAAAATACAGCAGCGAGAAAAGCAGGACACCAGAGGCTGGAAATTCTGTAACTTCACCTGTAACTTCCTCAAAGCCTGTCAACCATGAACAAAGCAGAATGAGACTGCAAAGTCTGCATTTGGCTGAATAAGTGCAGCTCTAGCACTCACGAAGCTTGACATGACCCAGGACAAAGCAACTTATTTGATTGGCACTCATCCACCACCTTTAACATTCACTCTCTTCACCACCTACACACAGATGTAGTCCAGCCACTCACCATGACTTCTTTGATAGCAGCCTCCAAATCCTATCTTCTACTACTAAGAAGGGCAAGGGCAACACATGCATGGGAACAGTATAACCTCAAAGTTCCTTTTTAAGCCATACACTACCCCTTGGAACGATATAATCTTTCCTTCATTTTATTCCGAGTCAATATCATTACGGGTTGTCCCACCACCTAAGCACTGCAGTGATTCAACGCAGCAGTTCACTGCCATCTTCCCGAGAGAAATTAGGAATGGACATTAAATGCTGGCCGAGACAGCAATGCCTGAATTCCATGAATGAATTAAAAACAATTGACAGTGAGACCTCAGTGTTGTAGCTGTACTTGGAGCAGTTTTGTTTGCAATGCAGCTAGTTCTGCAGCACACCCTCTCAGTACTCTAGCTATAATGTTGCCATGGCCAGCAGTCTTTGCTGTATCCAGTTCCTTCTGCCATTTCTTATTATCATACGGAGTGACTGGAATTGGCTGAGAGCTAGCATCTGGGATGGTGCAAAACCTCAACAGGGGAGACTGACTTGGATCATTCACTTGGCACCTCTGGATGAAACTGGTTTCAATTGCTTCTCCCTAATCTTTTCTTTTGCATATTTCACATTGTAGTGGCAACAATAGCTCAGCACTACCACATTAAGGGGATACAGTACAAAAGGGCAAAGAAGTTGAGGATATTTATGGAAATACCACGGCCAGTCACTCTTGTATTCAACACTCAAACAACCAGCTGTAGAACTGGGAGGAAGTCACTGCTCAAATGTATTGAATATCAACTGTCAGAGTCTGGAGTTTCCATTGGCATTTTCCACCAGGAATCATCCATTTGGCAAAAATAATAATGTGAATTTATACTTTGCCTGAACATAGAAAAGAAATCCTATTAAGTGGAGGACTCAAAGACTGTGGAACTTTTAATTTTACACCTTTATTTTTCTAGTTTATATTAAGAAGGACTTAAATGTTAAATATTGCCTATTTCTCTATTTTTCCAGTTATTCTATTAAGGTAATGGTTAACTTTTTAAACTTTGTACTTAACGTTTTTGTACCCAAGTACTTTTGTACCTAAGACAGTGCTATGTGTGGTGACATTATACACTTTTCACTATACTCTTGTGCTTGAGTACACATGATAATAAGATCCAGATCGAATGTATTTCATAGAGGCATATAAATTTGACAAAAATGGATATTAGGCTAAGGTATTAGTTATCAGGAAGATGAGTACAAGGT